TAAGACGATAAACATTTTTTTTTTTTTTTTGAATTTTTGGTGTGAATTTATTGTGAATTAATGTGAATTTTTTCACATTAATTCTCAATCATCCATTATTTTACAAGGGGGGAAAAGCTGTCAGCTGTAGGATGCCAAAATGTTGTTTACATTCATTAATTTAGCAGATGCTTTTATCCAGAGCGGCTTACAAATGAGAATAATACAAGCTTTTGAGTTTTGATTTGTTTATGCTGTACTCTGTGTCTAATTTTCCACTGAATTATCTTATTAGCGCAGTTCAAAAGCGCAGAGATGGTTCTCATAATAATTCACATTAGATGTTTATTTGGGAATGCTGCAGAATCAAATCCAACCCTAAGTTGTCAGCTCGTTTCCTCTTATGACCACACACCTTGTTTTAAACACTTACGTAAAACGCAAATAGTCATGTTTATTTGCAACGAGTGTGACGATTGATAGGTGAATCAATAATTTAGCACTTTAATATATAGACCAAAACCATTCCTGGAGGTTTTAGTTATGATAACGCAACTTACCCATCATTCATGCCTTATTACAGTTCATCTCCAAAACACAAAAGCCTATTTCTCAGTTGATGAATTGTAAAAACAGTCTGATAATCTGCCAAACAGTTAGCATTACTAAGGGCTTCAGCACTGTAATAAACAGCGGCGAGTGGTGCACCTTCACACAATAAACTGTTTATGGTTTCTGGCAGCATGTGGCTGAGAAGCTTTGGGCAGATACTCTTTGAACTACACCAGACCTTTTTTAATCAGCGGCACCATCTGTCACCTGTGCAACCAGGCCTATGTATAATAGAATTGTTGGCATGAGTCCATGAAACGAACCTAACTGTTGTTTTAGTGGTGCTCTGCTGCAGGCTCTCGATACGGTTTCATGCTTTGTTTATACTCTAATGTGAAGGATAAGCGCAGATGGTCTTCCATGCGGTGGGCAGACATGGCCCACTGACTTGATGGACTTTCATGTACAGATCATTGTTTGGTAGTAGGATTAATGTTTCGGATGTGCAATTTAGATAGTTTCAAGATAAGAAATCATAATGTTGGAGAGACCAAATAGTAATTCGGAAATTTACAGCCATATATAAGTCTCTTCTGCTCACCAAGGCTGCATTTATTTGATCAGAAATACAGTAAGCACTGTAATATTGTGAAATACTATTACAATTTAAAATACCTGTTTTTATTTGAATATACTGTAAAATGTAATTTATTGCTATGATCAAAGCTGTATTTTCAGCATCATTACTGCAGTCTTCAGTGTCACATGATCTTCAGAAATCATTCTAATATGCTGATTTGCTGCTCAAGAAACATTTCTGATTATTATCAATGTTGAAAACAACTGTGCCATTTCATATTTTGGTAAAAACCGTGATGCATTATGTTCAGGATTCTTTGATGAATTCAAAAGAGCAGCGTTTGTTAGAAATAAATCGGTCACATCGATGTAATGCATCCTTGCCGAGTAAAAGTATTAAAACATATTAAAATTATATCTGACCCCAAACTTTTGAATGGTAGTATATATAATGTAAAACACTGACTTCATACATTCACTAAAAAACAAAACCCCTCCAAAACACCAACTGATTAAAAATGGCTCAGAAACATTATTTGAGCATTCATTTGTTTGCAGACGCCAGCTGATGTATATATTTTGTGTATAATAAAATGTAATGTTTTTAAATGGAGCTTTTAGGGGCCGCTGTATGTGTTTATTGGCATATAAGAGTACACTGGCGGACAATAGGCCCTTTTCTCGTTTTGTATCCCAGTTTTATTGAGTTTCTTGTAAAGTGAAAATGATGGAGTGACCCAGAGCAGCCTATGCAGACATTCTTGGCATGCCGGGACTGGCCAGCGCTCAGGCCAGATGGCAATACAGCCTGTGGGCAACAGAAATAGACTGCTATTCTCTGGGGTCTAATGTTTAATCATTACCTTACATGCTCAGAAGCATAAAGAAAATATTGTTTCCCTCTTATTTCATGTCCTCACTCAGCACTGGAGCTGTGCTTGCTTACTGGCGCGACTCGCAGGAGCCTTTTAGGTTTCTGCTCCCTAGATACGTCTCAATATGGTGCCTCCTCCAGTGTGAGAGTGTGTTTTCAGTTTTTCCACCAGGTGAAAAAAGTAAGTGCAATTGCTTAGTAACAGCACACCTCTCCTCGACAATGACTCATGTCTATAGCACAAACTGTGCAGGATGAGTTAGTACCAGGGTTTAATGCTGTACAAATCATAAGCTAGTATTAGTGATGCTTGATGCAAACAGTGCTAAATATATAGCCTAACTATCAACAGCCTCACTGGATAGAGGATGCGTATTTTCAGAGTCTAATTTTAGTCTGGAACTAAAAATTCCACAATGTGTATACAGTATGTCATTAAGCCAAAAATATTCAATGGTTATAGATTTTTCCATGACAAAAAAATCAATCAATCAATAAATCAATCAATTATAATTATGTTAAGAATGTGATGTGTATTTAGTAAATGCAACCAAAAATATAAATAAATTAATAAATAAACAAATACATAAATAAATAAATTACTATAGTTAATTTAAAATATTCAGATTAAAAGCATCAGACATGATGTGCGTTATAAGAACGTTCTGCTAATTTTCCCATTAAGTTATGAAAAGATTATTTCTAAATGTTCTCTTTGCATGTTTCATTTTTTTCATCATTCTTTGTTACAAAAATGCTGGAACATTCTATTTGAGAATTTTGCAAACATTATGGGAATGTTACTTTTGAATGTTCCCTGAACATTCTGAAACAAGTCGTAACATTTAAAAAAAAACGTTAGATGAGCGTCCAACTGAACCATTTTAGAAGAAAAACATCCTATGAATGATGTATAAATAACATTTTTGTGCTAATGTTTTGAGAACATTATTTAAGACCAGATAAGTTTAAACTAATATTCCTAACTAATCGTTACTGGAAAACATTTGTTCATAACTTTGAGAGAACATTGCCAAAGTTCTGAGAACTGTCAAATCCAGTACTTAATCTTCTTTCTTGTACCAAATGAAAAAAAAAAAAAAATTCTGTCATCCTAACCACTAGATTACAAACACAGCCATGATTTACAACATACGAGTCACTTTCTCCGAGCCGAGTCTCACTACTCTGTTTTCTCTGCCTGCACACATTCATTTTTCAAATCTCTAAATGCTTTCTATACTGAAACACAAACATACATTGGATTTGGGCCTCACAGTGGGAACGTTTACATGCATACAGGAGCTGTTGTCTCATCTGAAGAATTAAAACACATGTGGGGAATTTGGCTGGCACTTACAGTGTCGTAAAAAGAGCAGAAGCCGCAGAGTGACCACAGAGCTCAACATGCGTGTTTGGCCCACATAAACACCGTGAGAGGCCCATGAGAGGGTCTGTAGGGAGGAAGCTCTTTCTATGTTTAGACTCAGTCGAGCTGATAACAGACCTCTGAGATTCAAGTGCTTTATTCAAGAGTGCTGTCATGGTAAAGCGACCAACTGGGAGTAACTCAGGTAACTACTGGTGCTGGCTATTATTATTACTTGTACGTGTCTACTGGTGCAGAAGAAACACGCTCACATGCTGGAGAAAAAACTGTACAGTAATTTAGTTGTCTGTAATTGCTTTTAAAGCACGGTCACAATCAGAATCAGGAAAATGCGAACTTTACTTAAAAAGTACACATGATGTGAATTTAATACACTCTTAAAGGAATAGTTTACCAATATTTCTTCATTGGAGATTTGGAGAAATGTAGCATTGCATCACTTGCTCAGCAATGGATGCTCTGCAGTGAATGGGTGCCGTCAGAATGAGCGTCCAAACAGCTGATAAAAACATCACAATAATCCACAAGTAATCCACAGCACTCCAGTCCATCAGTTATTATATTATGATGCCAAAAGCTGTTTGTAAGAAACATATTCATCATTAAGACGTTTTTAACTTCCTACCTTTGCTTCCAGGTAAAAATACAAGTCCTGTACTATCAACGCTTCCTCCAGTGAATAGTGTACTTGTCTGAATCAGGAGAGACATCTGCACAGATCATGCACCATTTACAAGCCAAAACAGCTCTAAATAAATCTGTGGGTGGATTTTGATTTGAGAGACAAACAGGGGATGTATTTTCTCACTGGAGGAAGCGTTATTATGGATTATAGTCTCATATTTTAGCCAGAAGTGATGGTTTTAAGTTAAAAACATCTTAATGATGGAATTGTTTGTCATAAACACACAGCTTTTGGCTTTACAAGACATTAATTGCTGGACTGGAGTGGTGTGGTGTGGATTATTGTGATGTTTTTATCAGCAGTTTGGACTCTCATTCTGACGGCACCCATTCACTGCAGAGCATCCATTGCTGAGCAAGAGATGGAATGCTATATTTCTCCAAATCTGATGAAGAAACAAACTCATCTACACACATCATACTGAGACTATCAAAATTGGTACTTGACTTCCTAGGAATATAAATAATAAACATAATGGTAAAATCAAAAGTTTTTATATATACATATTAAATGCAAGCAAGTAAGAAAGTGTCTACTTTAATGTTTCAAATAACTTACTAAATAACAAAACAACATACTTATTCTGACATGTACTTATTAAAATATATAAAATAATCTACTTTGACTACTAATCTACTTTGATTAGATTTTTAAAATCATTTTTGAAAGAAGTATCTTTTAATGCTTACAAAAGCAGCAGTTGTTTGGTCAAAATTACATTAAGTACAGTAATATTGTGACATTACAATATTTCGCAAGATTACTGTTTTTTTCTTGGTGAGCATAAGAGACTTCTTTAAAAAACACTACAAGTCTTACTGATCCCAAACTTTTGAACGGCAGTGTATATATATATATATATATGGTGTCTAAATCACTGCTGATAGAAGCCAAACCACAATCACAGTGCACATTTCACTTCTAATGTGTCTCTGTTTCAGTGTGCCGAGTATCAGCAGGGAGTTCTGACCGGTGACCTCTGCGAGGACCTCTGCGTGGCCGGTCGTGTGGAATACAAACGCTGCCTCTATTATGAGAATGGCAAGAAGGTCATGGCCGCCAGCTGGCGTGGGGTGCCTGTCGTTCTCAAGTCAAAGCTGGAGAACTTCTCCTCCTATGAGGCTTTAGCTCTGCTGGAGTACCAGGATACAGCGGGAGGAACGGGAGGCGAGGAGGAGCTCTCGCCGCTGGATGTCGTCTTCTACGCCACGCTGGAGATCAAGAACTCTCTGGGCTTGGAGACGGGAACTAACTTGACGTTGCCCCGCTTGTGGGGCCAAAAGCTGAAGGAGAACGAGCGGACGTACTCGCGAGCGGAGCTGGCCTCGCTCTGGGCTCTCCTTCAACAGGAGGAGTACACCTTCCTCAGGGTCCTGCAGGATTTAACCCAACACGTGGCCAAGATCCTGGGCTCCTGTGGTCACTTTTACGCCGTGGAGTACTTAGCGGCCGGACACGCGTGGGACCAGCACATATTCTCGCTGGAGGAGCTGACGCTGAGCCCCTCGCCGAGCCCCTGGAGCGGACAGGAGAAGACGATAACCGCGAGAGACATGGTGCCCCGAGTGGCCCTGAGCTTTCTAGAGATGGTGGAGCATTTTGAGAATGACTTTTCCCACAGCTTACACCTCTGTGATATCAAACCAGAGAACTTTGCTATCAGGAAGGACCTGACGGTGAGTAAATGCTTAACAGCAGGGTTTATGAAGGTAAATTGAAGACCAGAAGTAAAGAAAATTTTAAGACTAGATAGAATGGATAGAAGAATAAATAGAATACAATATGTCAATATACTCTCTAAATGTAAATGTCTAGGGAGCATAACATTTGAAAATATAACTTCCAAAAGATCTCCATTACTTTTTAATTTGTTTCATAAATAAATCATTGATGGCTTGAATAGCTCTGCTCCAAGCCATTAGAATAGAAATGACTTTTACCGCACTTTCTGATCACACTGCAAAAAAAAAGTGATGTTTTCCAGTGAAAATGTATAAAGATTCTTAAATCAAGATATATTTACTTGAGAAACATTTTGCAACATTTAATGCCATGGCTATAAATTTAAGAATTTCTGTCCTTAAATTGTGGGTGAAAAAAATAAGACTTTTTATTTTAAGGAATAAAAAGAAAGGAAACACAATACGTCAATATATTCTCTAAATGTAAATGTCTAGGGAGCACATTACAAAAGTCAGAAAATATGACTTCCAAAAAATATCCATTACTTTTGAATGGAAAAAAGTGATGTTCTTCTGTTCTTCATCAGTATTTTTGTCTTGTTTTCCAGTGCAAATGTCTAAAGATTATTTTACATTTACTTGAGATACATTTACATAAATTGATTTAAATTAAGTTTACAAACAAACACCTGTCAATGGGCTCAAAAAATCTACTTAATTCAAATGTTTAGATATTTGTTCTTGTTTTAAGTATAAACTCACTTAATTTTGATGAATTTTCTTTAGAAAACAAGACTTCAGTATGTTTAGATATTTGTATTTGAAAACAAAACAAAAATACTGTGGAAGATCCATTTTTGCAATGCAATTTATGAGTTTTTAAGGCCTTAAATTGTGGGTTTAAGGCAGGATTTGGGACAATTGTTATAGACATCATGGCAGTTCATCTCTTATTTGCTTTAAGTTGAGCATTTCTCAGTTTTTGGACTCCTTCACCAGCTGGTTATTATAGACTCAGCAGTGGCCAACCATCTGCCAAATCATTTCATTTAATCAGAGAAGTATGAACTGATGCATGCGGTTTACTGTTCATTAGAATGTGATTGTGGTTAAATTAATTACCCAAGGATCCAAATCTAATGAAAACATTTCTATGAAGAGTATATACTGTATATCTTTCCAGTATTAGATTGGAATATTATTGTAATAATTAGTTTTTTGTTATTAGATTATTCTGCAATATTTATTATAGTCAAGCATTGTTATAATTAATTATGCTTGTCTCACTGTTGGCAAAATTATGAAATACACTACAAGAAAGATGTGTTGATTGCTCAATTACATTTCCTAAAGATTTCCTTATAGAGCTGCTGCCCGAGGCTTATTATGGTCCAAATATTCCAGGTTATTAAGATAATTATGATTGTAGTTATTAATAATACTATTTAATAATTACTATAATTATTATAGTAAGGTTATCATAGCTAAAATATTATATCAACATTTAATTCTTCAAACACAAGCCAACTATTTTAGCAATGTCAGTTTACAAGCAAGAGAATTATAATGTAAACTAAAATATTTTTTCAGATCTCATGATCATGATTCAAAAAGAGATGAAAATGAATATTTAGAGTCTGCCGATCTATACAGCAAATGCTTGGCATTACACATGATATATGTGACCCTGGACCACAAAACCAGTCATAAGGGTCAATTTTTTTCCGAAATTGAGATTTATACATCATCTGAAAAAGCTGAATAAATAAGCTTTCCATTGATGTATGGTTTGTTATGATAGGACAATATTTGGCTGAGATGCAACTATTTGAAAATCTGGAATCTGAGGGTGCAAAAAAATCTAAATATTGAGAAAATCGCCTTAAAAGTTGTCCAAATGAAGTTCTTAGCAATGCATATTACTAATCAAAAATTAAGTTTATCTTTTCATTGATGTATGGTTTGTTATGATATGACAATATTTGGCTGAGATACAACTATTTGAAAATCTGGAATCTGAGGGTGCAAAAAAATCTAAATATTGAGAAAATCGCCTTAAAAGTTGTCCAAATGAAGTTCTTAGCAATGCATATTACTAATAAAAAATTCAGCTTTAATATATTTACAGTAGGAAATGTACAAAATATCTTCTTGGAACATGATCTTTACTTAATATCCTAATGATTTTTGGCATAAAAGAAAAATCAATAGTTTTGACCCATACAATGTATTGTTGGCTGTTGCTACAAATATACCCCAGCGACTTAAGACTGCTTTTGTGCTCCAGGGTCACATTTGTGTTCCAGTGGAGCCGATGAGATTGAGATACATGCTGCTTATTCGGAGGGTTTCATGGGTTTTTCTAACATACTGTAAAAAACACCTGACATCATGCAGCTTGTGTTGCTATGACTCCCATCAATCAATGCCAGATCAACAAAATGCTGTTTTTTGTTACACGCAGCATAAAATAATGTGTTTAATATTCTTTGGAAGATTTCTGAGAGTCTGTATTGGCTGTGAAAACACTTTAGAAATATCACTGACTGTCCTGTCTTGTTTATGTAGAAGGATATGTTCATTTAATTCACAAGTTTATTCAAAAACAAAAAGTTAAGCATGCGGCAACAAAAAAACAGCTTTGTCAATGCTTACCGTATCGTATTAGTCTAAGAGCTGCCCGCAGAAGTTATGCACTGTATACAGTATTCGACTATCTATCTATCTATCTATCTATCTATCTATCTATCCTGTAAAAATGATTTTCAAAGTTGAAAGTAAAACAAAAATTAGCTTCTAGAATGTTTTACAAGAAAATACTACATCAAAATTTCATGTTTAATTCAGTACTACTTGCTGTTTATTTGTACAATTTTCTGAATGAGTAAATCCTGTGCCATTTATTCAGTCGATCTATCCATCTGAAATGAATGTGTTATCTCTAAATATCTGTTTTTAATTAATACAGTCTTATTTATGTCTAATAGTCTGAGACAAATATTGAAATATTGTCTATTTTGCCTTTTTTTCTATGCAAATGATTGCATAATGTCATTAATTATTATTAGTTTTAGTATTTTTACAATGTAAGCAAAAACATCTGATATATACAAAGGAGTTTGTAAATATGACAGAAAAAATTACTTATTTGATTAGCGTCCTAGAAATAATGTAGAATATTAAATATCTATTTTATTTTGATATATTTTTTATTTCTAGGTTTAAATTGGATTTTGAATACTAGAATATTTAAGCGGTTTTGGACCAATATTTAAGTGGTTTTGGACTGTATATATAAATGCTTTACTTTGCATTTCTGATTATTATTTTATTTTTCACTGAACAGGTGGTGGCTATAGATGTGGATATGGCTTTTTTTGAGCCCAAAATGAGAGACATACTTGAGCAGAACTGCACCAGTGACAATGACTGCAACTTCTTCGACTGCATTTCCAAGTGTGACAAAACTAAAAACAGATGTGGGCCAAAGCGCAAGAACAGTAACCTTCAGGTGAGCGAGGCATTCATTATTCTGACTCCATTGTATACTCTAATTCTTTAATAATTTGCATCAATTCTTCTATATTTCAGCATTCAGTAATCCTATGGAGTATGTGGTTAGCAATTATATATGTAAGGTGCTGAAAGTGAAAAGAAAATGACTTTGTTTTGGAAAACTGTCACAAAGGAATACCAGTAAAATAGCCGGAGGAGACAATCGTTCTTCAGCGGTAAACATTGCCAAGAAAAATGCAGGGAATGTTAATAGTTCATGATAACGCTGAAGGGAATCAGATAGCGCCGTCATTACTGCTCCTAAACACAATGAGGGTTAACAGGGCCAAACAAAGGAAGAAACTTAACAGATCATCATCAGTTGTGGCTACAGTCAACCGCAACAGGCTGCAGCTCATTTGAGACAAGCTACATTTTGCACATGATATTTGTGTAATAAATAAGGCTGTATTCAAACCGCAAGCCAACAATTAAAATTTGTCATGACTTTTTTTTTTTTTTTTAAACAGCACATATTAGATGTTTCTAAACTGACCCGTATGTGTGAAACACCCCACCCTGGAATGTTCATCTTAGTTTTATAGCTTTAGGTTACAATTTTTAAAAAATTAAATAAAAAAAAAAAAACACATAAGGTGAATTAAGCCACACTGAGTTAAAATGACAAAAAAAATGTGACTATTAAAAAGTACATTTATCACAGCCATGCGAGGGTTAAATGGGATAGTTCAGCGACAAATAAACAATCATAAAAAATAAAAAAAAAATTCTGATTTATTACCAGATATGCAAATGACTCAGATCAGAAACTGATCATGTAAAATTCAATGATTTTAGCAAAAACTATTTTTATAGTTTATTGCCATCAGACTGCATTAAGTTAATTGCAACTTTTTATCGCACAGTTATGACATTATGATATTTTTACTTGCAATTGCAAGTTTATAGTTTATATCTCACAATTCTGATTTTTAGAAAAAATAGTGGGAATAGTGGGATACAAACTCAAAACTGCAAAATAAAAGGTTCTGTGTCAGAAATAAGCTTCCATAAAAACAGATCTGTGCTACGTTAGAGGAAAATAAGTTGCAATGAAATTACTAGAGACAGATGACCGTAACGATGAGTAACATGTAATTATTAAAAAAAAAATTTTATTGTTTCTTTCTGTGGTGTAAATAAGCTTCCATAGAAACCACAGATCTGTACTCAAACATACTCTACAACAACGGTGAGCGAAGTTACAAAAATATTATTTGCGATGAAGTAACTACAAGTAGAAGACAATAAATACTATTTTTTTGAATGCCGCCACCATTACAAGTATATGCAGGTTTCATTTCTCTATTAGATGCTTTGCCACAGTCACACAACGTCTTTCATCTGTTCGTTGCGGTTCGTTCGTAGTCAACACCTGCTGTCAGTGCCAACTCCCCTTAAGGAGAGCAAGCTAACAGACGAGCTGGTCGCATGAAACCAAGTCCAGCTCCGGGCCACAGGTGGCTGAGACAGAGCCCATCTCTCCGTTCCCGATCACTTAACGCAACCCTTGGTGACCTCTACCTTCCCATTGTATGGCCTGCCATTCAGAACAATGAGGGCTTTGTAACGTTCAGGCCTTTGGGTCGAGGAGACCATTGCTTTCAAACGGCACGCATAGCGAATATGGCTGATGATTGCTCCGGAGATGATGAAACGAGACCAGGATGGCGCTAATGGCCGCTTCCCTCATCCATACCCATGCTTTTCCCTTTGGGGTCGATAGCTGTCATGCTTCTCTCTTTCTGTCTCTCCGCAGGTGATCTGTGAGAAGATCTTCAGGCCTTGGTTTTCTCCCACGCTGCTCGGTGCTAAAGCGGGGCTCCCCCTGCAGGTGGCGCTGCAGCGAGCCGTGCAGGAGTGCGCTGAGATAGACGGCGGGGAGGACGCCAAGCGTTCGCGGGCCGTGAGAAAACAGCTACAGGATCTGCTCGTGGAGCTCATTCAGGAGGACACGGAAAACCAGGGTGAAGACCAGGAACACAAGACGAGACGCGTCCATACGGCACTGAATTTCTAAATGAACTCTTGAAATGGCTATGAAAGAACAAACCCAGTCATGTGCAATTCTGGAGAACATGTCAGATGACTATTACAGTCGAGATAACAGCTGTTTTCAAACAGCCAGATACATTAGCATAGTTGTTTACTGCTAATATTCAAAACGTCTGTTAAACCTCTGGTGCTGTTCAGCAATTTTCGAAAGGAAAATTGTAAGTTTAGTTTTTTTTCTATTTTATTTACTTCATCGGAATGGTACGGAACATGGTACACAGAAATTATGGACATGATTTGAAACGGTTAAATGGTTCTGAAAAAAATAGTCCCACTTGTACTGTTCGTGGTCAAAAATGAACGCACTAGAAACAAACTTCATCTAGTGGAAACGTGTATGAAAGCACATTTTTAGAGATATCAACCTCAAATTTAGAACATAACTTGTTTAGACTTATGGCTTAGATTTTTCCGTTTTAGAGTAAAATATGTTCTGGAAAATATATGGTTCATATGAAATATCAAAAATAATTTCCAAAAATAAACTTAAACTTCTATAACTTTTTTTAGTTTCACGTTTTTCAGTTCAGCAATAATCTGGTGTAAGTCTGTGCTCCAAAGCATTCAAGATTTACGACAGTTGGAAATGTCAATTTCAGGTCTATGCTCAAAAAGTGGTTAACAGAAATAAATGGATCATGACTATTCCATAAATATAATTTAGTACCATAAAATCACCTAAAAATACAAAACATTAAATAAAAACATTTTTGAAACTAAAATATAGTACATTCATTTAATGTAACATAAAATATAGTACCGTATTGACCCGAATATAAGACGATGTTTTTTTCTTGGAAATACATCTGAAAAAACGCGGTCGTCTTATATTCAGGGTCTAGACTTTGACATGTCAATAATACACCCACAACACTAGGTGGCGCCAAAACCGCATAAAACGAGTGTGCCATGAAATACGTAATGTAATGCGTGTTGTAAAGATCGCGAGCAAAACAAAAGAGAAAGAAAATCTTACAGCTGCATGAGTCGTGACTGTCACGTTAGCCTGATGGGACCAAACTCCCTTTGTGATTTTAAAACGTAAGACAGTACCCAGATTTGAAGACTACAGTAAGATTTAACTTCTACTGTTAATAAGATTTTGGTAGGCTACTATTAGATGGATATCCTAAATGTCCTAATTCAGATGGGCTATTTTTTTTTTTTTTTTTATGGTATATCAAAAAGTGTATATTTTTTAAATGTGATTGTTGGTACATTTTACCAGTTTTTACCATACTTTCAAAACAAAAATTAAAATAGGAAAAATATGCAATATGAAAATAATTGAAGACAAAATGTGTTTTACTGAGAAAAAACAAGATTTGGTTTTTAAAAAGCCTTTTTCCAGAAGGTACATCTGGAAAAAGGGGGTCGTCTTATAATCAGGGTCGTCTTATATTCGGGCCAATACGGTACATTCATTTAAAAGGCGAGCAGCACCAGAGGCTTAAAAGGTATAGTTCTCACCCTCATGTTGTTCCAAACTTGTACTTCTTTTGTAAAACTGTAGTTTTTTTTAATGTGTTCCATAGAAGGAAGAAATCCATACAGGTTTGTAATTTTTGGGTAAACTATCCCTTTAAGGGTGTAGATATGCCTCTTACCGTAAAGTCCCATTCAACACAAGTATCGATAACTATATCGATAATTATATTAGCGTCCACACCAATGTGGTTTCACACTGCAGTTTTTGTCTCTGCCACTTTAAATACTCAAGCTCTTTAAAGCAGGAGTTCTGATTGGCTGTCAATGTTTTTATCATTCATCAGCTGGAAAAAAAAATCATTTTGAAAGTGGTTCCAACAATATTGTTCCACTATGTTGTTGTAGTTCAGTGGACTTTTACAGTAAATGTGGAACTATTTTTTACAACTACATCTTTACTGTTATCGTTATTGTCCTTGGTGTAATGGGCCTTAAAAATAAAAGTGAGTTCATATTTACAATTGTTTAGCAAATTTTTGCTGGCGAAATCTAGTCATTTCAATACGAATCCACATGATCGGGAATTTCGAATGAGAGCGAAATATTCCCCAAGCAGATTTTGCAACTCAGTCATACAGATTTGCCACGTTGACCAACAGAAAGCTGCTTGGTTTGCTGCTTCATACATCTCTACATTACTGACAACAGACAATGGACATTTTTCCCGTGAAATTTGGCTAATGTGACTGAACTTTAATGCTCTTTAAAAAACCTTTGGATCATCTCAGCTAATGTATCCCTGTTATTTGCTGAAGATAATTTGTCTACCTGTGATTTTGTATAAGCATTTCAATAAACCATGGCTCAGGCACAATCCTTCCTTTTGGTTTCTTACCCGCAGCTGCACGCCGTCACGCCACATTATAGTCTGTACGCACATCAACACTATGCAGAGAATGTAATCGAAAGCTCAAAGATCAAACCAACATTTGGTTCCTATTGACGGAAGAGGAACAATCTGTAGATTTGTTTGGATCTACCTTCAGCATTGTGGTCTTCACAGGAGATCAGGTTCCAATCTGCCTCCAGCTGTCTTTCAGGAGAAGGGGGTTAGAAAGACCAAACACAAGCTTTGGACCAGGGGAGGATGAGACCAGTGTTGGGGAAAGTTACTTTTAAAAGTAATGCATATTACATTACTCCCTAAAAAAGTAACTATTTACATAATTTTGTTATGGAAAGTAATGCATTATGTTACTTTTTCATATTTTTTATTTCTTATCTGGGCTGGGCTGGGCTTGCTTGTTTGTTTTTAATATAAAAAAGTTCTAGTTTTGGAAAGTGTAAAAGCCCTTTCACACCAAAAGAGAAATGAATACACCTCAGGCTGAAGGAAAGGTACAGTAGAGTAGATCTCAAACAAACCTTTCAGCTGTGCTGCATGAAGAACAGGACACAGGAAAAGAAAGTGTACACTCTAAAAAAATGCTGGGTTAAAAAGGGACAAACCCAGCTATCGGGTTGTTTTGACCCAGTGGTTGGGTTGTTTTGACTCAAAACAACCCAACCACTGGGTCAAAACAACCCAACCGCTGGGTCAAAACAACCCGATAGCTGGGTTTGTCCCTTTTTAACCCAGCGCTGGGTTATATTTAACCCAGCATTTTTTAGAGTGTAACAGTCTTCAGCAATAAAACAAAAAAAAAGTTTATCTAAAGTAGGGCTGCACGATTATGACAAAAATCATAGTTGTCGATTATTCCCTTGAAATTGTAATTGCGATTATTACGATTATCACAATTTACATTAAATTATGTTTATACCATTGTTTGATGCAACTGCATGCCATATTTTTATATGAAAATAAACAAGCTGAAAACACTCTAACTGAAAAACCTTTAGTGCTTTTCTATAGTATTAAGCCTCAAATGTCAAATATACATCGGATTGGTTTCTTCTTTAAATTATAAAAAAGTTAAAATATGAATGGTATTATAATGTTATACTAAAACTAAAATTAAAATAATGGGAAAAACCCTTAAGATAACATGTAGAAAGAAAAAAACACATCTTAAGCACGCAGAATAACATAAGTGGACTTTGAACGATTAATTGCCGCTTTGAACGATTACGTAATTGTGGCATCCATAATTGTAATCGCGATTAGAATTTCGATTAATTGTGCAGCCCTAATCTAAAGTCATTATTGCTTATTAGTATGATTGTATTGAAGGATTGGATCATCGAAGGTCAGCAGCAAAGACACTGATTAATAAAATGGGATAATATACATAATATACATATACATATACATATACATACACATACACATACACATACATTTGGGGAAGTCGTGGCCTAATGGTTAGAGAGTCGGACTCGTAACCCAAAGGTTGCGGGTTCGAGTCTCGTACCGGCAGGGATTGTAGGTGGGGGGAGTGAATGTACAGCGCTCTCTCCCACCTTCAATACCACGACGGACATTAGTGTTATTTAACTTATTTAATAATTGCAGGTTTGCGTAATATTCTAAGTTTGCTAATTTCACAGTTTTTATTTAGTTTGAGGAATCTGTTTTTGTGCAAGTGTGATGAGTAAATGCATGATGACATTACAGCAGTGTTGGGGGTAACACATTACAAGTAACGCGAGTTACGTAATCAGATTACTTTTTTCAAGTAACTAGTAAAGTAACGCATTACTTTTTAATTTACAAGAGAATATCTGAGATACTTTTTCAAATAAGTAACGTAAGTTACTTTTTTTCCAAACGCATTACTTTCCATAAAAAGTAACTAAGTAACGTAATTAGTTACTTTTTTATGGAGTAACGCAATATTGTAATGTATTACTTTTAAAAGTAACTTTCCCCAACACTGCATTACAGTAACATCAGGCGCTTTCGCACCGCGTAGTTCTAGGAACTCAGTTCAAGAAATAGCCAGCAGGGTGGTTCCTAGAGAACCAGTTTCCCCCTTGGGCCATTTTCCTGGTTGCATTCGCACCGACGGTGACGTATTTATTCGCGGCTTTAACAAACATCAACAACCTGGTGAATGGAGGATGCCGTAATCGGAGCTGTTTTTGTTGTGTTGTGGGTTTCGTGATAATGGAGATGTAATGTAAACGCACAAGTTACGTGATTGAAAGAGCATGAAAATCTGACTAATTCTCCTATGACAACTTGCAGTGTTATCGAGGATGAGAAAAGAATACAACACTGCAGACAACAGGTAAATGCCGTTATCGCTGTTTTCCATGTTCGTGGAGTAAATATTTTTAGATAGCTTTTTAAAAATGCCAGGTAGCTGGTGTTTTGTATGTGTTTGGCCAATCAGTGTACACTTACGTCAGTAGTTCCTACAGATCTGTTTTAGACCCTACTCTGAAGTACTACTTCAAATGGAGTTCCCAGAACTAAAACCGTTCCTAGTTCCAGTTCTAGGAACTATGAAAAGGTTCCTCCGGTGCGAAAGCATCATGCATCATGTTCACACAGCGCACACAACACCTCTGCACTCACTCATGATTTCTGTCAACATGCGGACAGGAGAGCTTTCAGTCAATACGTGAGAAAACAAAGCGACTGGCCATACTTATTTGAAGAAGTAACTGTACATTTGAAAGTAATGTGTTACTTTATTATTAGTTACTTGAAAAAAATAACCTGATTACGTGTTATTTTTAATGCATTACGTCCAACATGGGATGAGACATTGAATGGTGTAGAGACTGTGGCCAGAGCCTATAGATCACCACTGATTTATGTTCTTCTGCCTTGGTTGGACTTCAAACGTTTTCCAGCTTGGCTTATGGCGGTCATCAAATTATGCGTCGCCAAGGCAACGACGGGGTCTGGTTTTGATCTGCTCAGACATGACTAACTGACTGCAATGAGGACGTCAATTCAATGTCGACTGTTTGCAGAATGTTGTGCTCGAATGTAGTCAAACAATGATTAAA